AATATTAACACCATGGGACTGGTGATTTCTTTTGTAATTTCTGAGAACTCCAGTACAGCATATAATAAATACATATAACTCTTAGCCTTCAGCTTAGCCTTATGGTCAGGCACGTCTTATAGAGCGAAAAATACGGTAAATGTTTTTAAGAAAAAGTAGCATCTTATACATGGAAAAATATGGTAAGCTGTGCAGAGTGGATTGTTCGCAGAACAACCTGGAGTAAGCCTAACATAAGGGCAGGCTCATTGTAGTTATTTATTTATTTATGTGTTGTGAGCCGCCCCGAGGCTTTGTTGCGATGGGGCGGCATAGAAATGTTTTAAATAAATAAATAAATAAATAGTTTGTTTTCCCTCTCCTTTCCCTTGGACCACCAGCTGCTATTCCAGCATCCTTATCTGCAGAACCTGTGTGGTCACTGATCAAACCCTTTTTGTTTGCCACCATTTTTTGTCTCAGAGCCTCAAGACTCCCCTTCTCGTTCTCGCTCTCTGACTTAAATTTTCAGGAACTGAGGAGATAATTTTTTAACAACTGTATTTGTAATTTCTTAATTCTTAATTTTTATTTTTGTTCATAGACTCATAGAATAGTAGAGTTAAAAGAGGTCTATAAGGCCACTGAGTCCAGCATCCCTGGCAGATGGCTGTCCAACTACTTCTTGACTGCCTCCAGTGTGGGTGAAGCCACAAACTCCCTGGCTAATTGGTTTCATTGCTGTTCTGCTCTCCTGTCTGTCATACTATCAGAAGGTTTTTCCTGATATCCTGTTGGAATTTGGCTTCCTGTAACTTGAGCCCATTATTCCATGTCCTGCCCTCTAGGATGATCAAGAAGAGATCCAGGCTCTCCTCTGTGCGACAGCAGATCAGGTATCTTCAGGTGCTATCATATCTCCCTTCAGTCTTCTCAAGGCCAAACATGCCCATTGCTTTCAGTCTCTCCTCATAGGGCTTTGTTCTATTTCCCAGATCATCCTTGTTGCCCTCTTTTGAACTTTTCCCAGTTTGTCTGCATCTTGCTTAGATGTGTGGTGCCCAGAACTGGACACAATACTCAAAATGGAGCCTAGCTAGTGCCAAATATAGCGGAACTCTTACTCCACATAATTTGGAAGTATACTTCTTTTAATGTGGAGATGAGTTTTCACAACTCTTGCCAAATTGCTTGCTTGCAGACCTACACTTATTCTTTTTCATCTTCCCAGATATCTAGAATTTCAGAAAGGGTGGAAAAGATTCTAGACACTAAGAAGAATGAGGTCCCGCCAGAAAAAAAGTAAAGGACCTTGTTGCAAAGGGGATTGTTGAGTGGCAACCCCATTTTTAAACCAAAGTTTTCACTTTGTTCACCACTGAGAGTGGTCAGGGAAAACAAAGTGAAAGAGAAATCTCTTTACAGCCTCTGTAAAGGTTCATGTTGAGTATTTGTCTCAAAGTGAAGCATTGCATTCACAATACATTGCTCCCCATTTCAGATGTACACAAGTGTGCAGTTTCACAAGTCCAACTAGAATTTTAAAAAGAAAGAAAAACACACATCTGGTGCTCAGTTTAAAAAAGGAAAACATGGCCAACCGTCGACAGCCCTTCCGGTGTGTCAGTTGGGCACTTTGAAAGGCTGTCAGTTTGGAGATGGCTATTCACAAATTCCCCCCACCCCCACACACACACACCAAAAATGGTGAAGAGAATAATGTTACTGCAAACTGATAAAGGTCTGTAATTACAGCAGGGAGCACCAAGTGGCCACCAAAGTGTTAAGAACATCAGGAGATAAGAAAAGGCACGCTGGATCAGACCAACGTTCCATGCAGCCCAGCACTCCATTCACATGGAGGCAAACCAGGATCCCTCAAGCAGGATGGGCACAAGACCTCCACCTGCTCAAGTTCCTCAGCAACTGGTGTATGGAGGCAGCGCATAGCCAGCAAGGCTGCTGGCCACTGATAGCCTTCTCCACGACTTTGTCCAGTACTCTTTTAAAGCCATCCAAATCGGTGGTCATCACCACCTCCAGTTCCCATAGTTTAACTATACATTGTGTGAAGGCATGTTTCGTTTTATTGATCCTAAACCAACCACCAATCAGATCATGAGATGATTCTGGGTTCTAGTTTTATGGAAGAAGAAGAAAACATTTCCTTCTCTACTTTCTCTAGACTATGCATAATTTTAAACACTTCTTTAATGTCTCCCCTTCCTCATCATTTTTAAGCTAGACAAGTTCCAGTTGTTTTACTCACTCCTCATAGGGGAGTGGCTCTCTATTATTTTAGTTACCCTTCCCTGAACTTTTCTAACTTAGTAATGCCCCTTTTCAAGTAAGGCAGCCAAACTCACACAATATTCTAAGCATGGCCACACCAAAGATTTGTGTAAAATTGCTTGCTTGAATACTTTGGGGTGGCTCTCACTGGAGGCTCCCTGGGTAACATTGGCAAGAGCAGTAGGTGCTTTTTCTGCTCTTGCCAAGAGGCTTGCTTCCCACTCTTGGGTGCTCATGATTGGGATGGTTGTTCAGAGGAAACAACAATCTGTCCTGGGTATAACAACTTCTAAAACATGGAATGGGTTTTCAAAGCAAGTTGTTGCCCACCAGCCAAGATATTTTGCACAACACAGTAACCCACTGTGGCTTGTCACCTGCAATGGGTTGCCATGGCATACAAACCCTATTAGGGTCTTGGATCCCAAGATAAGGTAAAGTTCATGTAGAGAGGGTTTAGTCTCCCTTTTTTCCTTCCTTGTAGTCCCTGAAAAATCTTTTCAGACAGTTGGTGTGGGAAACTCCTCAGGGCTATCAGTTTGTGCACAGAGTACTGCTGGGAAAACTACCACAAATTGTGCAGACTGCTCCATTTTTGATGATCTCCCCATAGCTATTGTTACGTGGGCTCCCTTCTATACACCTTGATTTCTTGTCTGATTCAGCTGAAAGGACAGGTGCACGTGAATAGGCATTTGCTGATCCTTTGGTTCCCTGAGCAGGAAAATGGGAATCAAGAACTGTTTGAATGGCTTCAATAGAACCGCTACTAGAATCTTCAATTGAAGTCAAATAATATCCTGAAACAGATGTTGAAAAATCAGTGACTATTCAGAGGAAAGTAAAGGGGGTGATTTGTTATTCAGATTAGTAATGTTTACAGTATAAGCTCTGGGTCTTGCAAACTGTCTAGCATATCCAGTTGTGAATAAATAATTGTTCATGTTATGTTATATTATATCTCGGGAATGGCCCAGTCTCCTCCATTTGCTGGAATTTGAAGATTGTCTAGTTTGGACCGAAAGAAAATGAATTGTTAATGTTAGTATGATTGTGCCATGATGATTTACTCAAGGCAAAGAATAGAAGTTGAAGGGTAGACAAGTATGTGAGGAAGTTTGGTTTTAAGAGCTAGTGTAGTGTGGTTGGAGGGTTGGACTGGAGACCTGGGAAATCTAGATTCTTACTTTGGGCCAGTCACTCATTTTCAGCTTAACAGATACTTCACATGGTTGTTGTGAGGAAAGAATTGAACTATGTAAGCTGCTTTGAGTTCCACACAAGAGGAAAAAAGGAAGGATATAAATGCAATATAATAATCATATTCATAATGCGCCATAGTAGTTTATAGACTACAATACTGGTCCGGGGCTGGAGAGATTTATGTTCAGATCTCCAGTCATTCATGAAGTTTACCAGATGATGCTTTTAGTCTAGCCTACCTCCCAAGGTTGTTCTGAGGATAGAATGGAGAAGCATGTATGAAGCCTCAAGCTTTTTTGAAGGAAAAACATCATGCTCTCAAAGTAGCATTTATTAAAAGAAGCCCTTCCAGTGGATTTTTGAGAAAACAGTGTAGTGTCGTTGATGATGATGATGATGATGATGATGATTTTGCTACAGTGGAGGAGAAATGTGAGATGAGCCATGTGCATTATGTTTGAATTTGAGAACTGTTTTTACAGCTCATTATTATATTGACTGGGAAAATGAGACAACGTTCTTGCTTGCTTTTTCCATGTTTAGGTTAAAGTCCCTCTCTGTGTGTCTTTTTAAGGGGGAAACAAATGCGAAGACCAACAAGCACTATTGGGGAATTGAATTTTCCTTGAGACTGCACTGGTGTTCTTAAGTTTTCAGGCTTTCTACTAGCTTGTGCTTAGTAGTCATATTTTGGAGATAGTCAAGTATGAAAACAGTGACATTTTAATCACCTCAATTATGTATGTGTGAGTTGTGGGTTGTCTAGCTTGTCTGGTTTTGTATCAATCTGTGAAAATGATTTGTGTAACAACAGCAGATCCATCATAAGGCTTCCCACATTCTTTCTTTTGAGACTTCTATTATGTTCAAAGTTATAAGTGCCTGATCCTGCCTAATCTTGGAAGCCAAGCAGGGTCAGGTCTGGTAAAAATCTGGATGGAAGACTTGAGCCCTACATTGAGAAGGGGGTTGGACCGAAGGCCTTCTAGGCCCCTTCCAGCTGTATGATTCTTGATTCTGTAATCTGTACAAAATTGTCCTTGTTTATAGATAGCTTCTCTATCCACCTGAAACAAAGATGCAGTTGAGGATTCCATGATGCCGTGATTTGCTAACAGATTTGGCTAGTGCAATCCATCCTCTGTGTCACAACACATTAATAAACAATAATTGCAGTACTTCAGAAATTCACCTTAGATGTCCATCGCTTCTCTGGGGCAGTGGAGAGCTTACCCCCAGCTGACTTTCTACTGCGTGTTGAGTGTTATGGTCAGGTAGGATGATTTCTCCTTTCTCCAACTTCCTGGAAGGGATATAATTCTAGGCCAGAAATGTTTAACGCTTCTCTTCAGTGTGGATTGATCAGCTGCACATGTAGCACACAAAAATGTCATGGTTAGAATTTCTTTGCTGCAAGTGTGGCCAGTACACTGACTTTATTGAGGAAGAGGAAATAGGAACCTCTTGTAAACAAGTAATAGATTTATGTGACAAGGGAAAAATGAACTTGTACTCTTGTGTTACAGATTCAATGATTCTTTCCTCTGACTCCGTTGGACGTTCAATAGGCTCAGGTACAACCTCCCCTCCCCTCCTCTCTTCTCCCCCTCTCATAAAAAGACTGCCATTTAACTTTTACGCGACAACCATGTTGGGAGGCAGATAAGACACTGTCAGGCCTAGTTCAGAATTACTCTTCAAGATAGGCAATCTGATGAACTTTTGTCTTAGGAAAAGAATGCTTAAAAATTTATTTGCTTGGCATGGCAACTCAAAGCCACTTACAATGGAACTATTGGTTTGCTTGTGTTCCATTTTTATCGTTAAAACAACAACTCCAGATGTTTTGGTCTACAACTTCTGTCAGTTTTCACCATTGTTATACTGACTAGGGCTGATAGAAGTTACAGGCCGAAATAACTGGAGGGCCACAAGTTACACACTTGTGATGGTGGACACAATTCCCACATTTGCACATAATGAAAAGCCAACAAGTCTTAAATGTATGGCTTATCATTACATGCAAACATGCACATTAGAAACAGGTTGCTATGTTCCATATGATAAAAATTGCCACTTGCCCACTACTGTTAAACACAGAGGTTATGTTGGTAGCCTGATGGTATTTCTCATTTCCAAGATACTATTTTACCTTGAATACCATTTGGTGGACACGTGAGATACAAATAATAGTAATAATATAAACTTCCCTAGGTGAGGTTTAGACAGAATGTACATGTAGAAACATGCACACATTGCCACTCCACTGGCTGTGGAGTGTACCACACACTGCCCTCTTGCAGGAGAGGGCATTTAATTAAACATCCCATTTATCCATGTGTGGAAGAAATGCAGGTATGAAATCTAGGAAGGATGATGCAGCTGTGTACAAGTTTCACATGCAGGGTTTTAGCAATTTCCAGAGGGGTAGTTGGATGTTTATGTAGAAACAGTTACTGAGAGAAGCTCAGAGGGAAACTCCCATTTGCTTCTGGACTATAACTGGATAGCATTATCTTACTTTGAGTATACATACAAATACAATCATTTTGGCCATGTCAGGAAACCTATGAACCAGCAGTGCAAGTCCAGTAACTGCAATATGCTGTTGCTGGGGTGGAACAATTGTTTACCTCATAACTGCAACACACAATATGCAGTTCTTGGGGAGCAGCAAATGTAGGGAATGTGCAGTGTGGATTTCTGAGAGAGGAGAGGCCCGAAATTTTTCCTTGCCCTGATGCCATGAAGGTATATGATGCCCTTAATATTAGACCTTGGATAAGCTTCTCTTTAAAACTAGTTCAGCTCCTCCCATTTCTGTGAGAAGTATCTTTCAGGATTTCTGGTTTTACTCTGGTAGAAAAGTTTGCTGCCTTCCAACATGGGCCCAGGCTTCTGCCTGCACAGTAATCCAGCACAGCTTGCTGCCTAGCACTAACAGCAAAACCTCGCCCAAAGGTGTTTCTGAGGTACTAATCTCAGACCTGGGTCTTGGAAAAAGCACAGGCTGCTTCCTGCTCTTCTTGCTGCATCCTTGAAAATTTGTTCCTAAAGGCTGATTGGACAGAGGTGCATGATCTTGCTCATAGATTGCCCAGCTTCGCAATTTTTTGAAGAGTTAATGAGAAAATGGGGCATCTTCTCCCTCTACCTTTCTATTTAACCTCTCCAGCTTAGCACTATGCAGGGATATTGGGACAAAGATCACAAGCTGTTAGAGGACAATTAAAAGGCAATTAAAAGGCATTCCTCTGTCAGTTGCAACAAAAACGTTATTTTGCCTTCATGATAAAGTATCTGGTTACACAGAGGATGCTTGAAAATTCATTACAGTGCTGCATGTTAAAGTAATATAGGATTAAGAGCTTTGGCTTCATTCTGCTTCAAGACTAGCTACTAATACAAAATAAGCTGTGTAATAAGGTTGAGTTGTGTGGTCTGTTGCTGGACTGAGGGATAGCTTTCCTTGTTAAAACAGGAATGAGAGAAAGAAAACCCACACCTCTTGTGCCTCTATCATCTCTCCCATCACACCTTGCTGCAGACCTGGGAACAGGCAAACCTAAGAGAGAACCTGTCGCTATTCCACGCCCAACCACTCCCAGTAGGTACTATTTCAGGTTGGGGAGAAAAAAGAAACAAAAATCAAGTGACACACCAACTGAAGAAATATGGGTTACTGATATGTTTCAAGGGTTGGAATGGGTGTTTCAGGGGTGGGTAGGTTCAACTTCAGTGGCACTGGGCTTGAGTGACTTTGGAGTTAACTTCCAGCTCTGCAGTTGCTTAATTATATGCATATGTATTAACTTGTTTACATCTTTTTATTAGTGTTGGCTCATAAACCAGTGGAGGTCTTACCTGGATACATAGCCTGGGTACAGATGCCCACACTCTGGTAAACTTCTGCTTAGGCTTCTGTAGTGTATTGTATATGTAGCACTGGACCTGCCCTTTTGAAAATGGCCTAGAAACCTTAGTTCAAAATTGGGCTGCAACTTGTTAACTTGAACCAGACAATCTGACCACGATATGCCAGTGGTTTGGTGGCTGTACTGGCTTCCAGAATGTGGTGGGCTTAAACTTTAAATCTCTGAATGGCTTGGGATCAGGCTACCTGATGCATCCTCTCCTCCCATATTTACTTACCTGGATTTTGAAGTCATTATCAGAGGCCCTTCTCTGAATGCCCAGCTTAAGTGAGATCCAACAAGTTGCTCCTAGGAAAAGTGGCTGTCTCAAATTGTAGAACACCTGCCCCAGAGAGGCTTACTTGGCTGCCTATTTTTTATGCTTTTTGGTGCCAGATGAAGATTTTTAAAACATCATCCTATGCTTTTTACATGCCCCTTTGGAGGGATTTTTAATAGATTTTGAGAATGTCTGCTTTGGTTGTATTGGTTTATCTCTGCTGTGTTGTTTGCATATTTTAATTTTATTTAATATTTGTTTTTTAAATATTTTTATCAACACTGCCCAGAAAATCCTGGTTATGGGGTAGATTGTAATGCCTGTGAATAAATCCATGAATTTATTTCTTTTTACTTTCCTCCTTTTTTTTTTTTTTTTTTTCTAAGCTTTTCACTCTTAGGTTAAAAACCTTCTGAAGAAGGAATCATCCATAATTTTATGGATCCCTTTATAATTAGTATTTTAATTATACTAATGGGTATAATTATAACTAGAATATTAAAATGGAAATTCACTACTACATTAAACAACTTATAACAACTTATGTTTTTTAAAAAAGCATGCTAATATAGGTGATTAAATAGTGTACATTCATACCAGAAAAAAGATTGTGGTCCCCAGAGGATCACTTACTTTCTCATGACAAAGCCTGTGTGTTCAGATCTGTATCTAAGGGCCTTCTTCCTGTGGATTGCCATCAGTAGTTAAACAGGAGGCAGCTAGCAAAAGGAGAGTTTCACTGGTGCTTCCTCAATGCTAGAATACTCTCTCCAGGTTGCTTGTAACTTGACTTGATAAGTTTAAGACATTTAGTGCTATTTTTATTCTAGGGCTGCTCTGCTGAATGGTTTTTACTCTGTTTTATTTGACTGCTTTTAGCTGGTTTTATTATTGCTTTTACCCATATTTTTTATGTCTTGTTTAACGAACTTTGATTTAAAAGCAGGGCAGGAATAATTTAAAATGCACTGATATTTTGTTCAGCAGATTACAGAACACAGTGCATGCTTGTCTCCATCTGAATTAAGGGCCTGCCAGGCTTCCTCAGCTTCTGATGTGCCATTTATTGCCTCTTTACCTTTAGTAGGTATTGTTTGCACAAATGGCTCAGGGGCTATATATTATCAATGGTACTCCTTATGTGCTCTTCCTGTTCTTTGCTGTCTTTGAGGAATCCACTTCCAAGTGCAGTGAAGAAGCAAACCAAAAGACACTGTATTTGTGGTGATGGTGAAGTTGGAACTGCTCTATCCTTGCAGCCATCTTACCTCTTGTAGCTTTCATCACCATTTTGACTTTCTACTCCATTTTGCTTCTCCATTGTCTTCTTCCTGCAAGGTTGCCTGACGGTGTCAAGCTTCTTGACAAGCATGAAGAACCTGTGTCCTACAGTTGCTCCCATCTTGCCCAGATTGGTGCCCAGAAGCATTCCTTTTTCTTTACCTCTTATGTCTTTTGCCTCTCTAGTCTGGCTTCAGAGGTACCTGTACACAAGCTCAGGGAATAGGGCAGGTGGAATGTTTTCTTTTTTATTCTAAACAAAGCATGACTCCGAATGTACTATACGCATTATAAGCATTCTCTCCTGGAGAAATTATTCGCATTGTGCAGGAAGCAGTTACATTTAGAGCTTATGCAGATATTTAAAATCCTAGTTTTATTTCCTCCCATATACTTTTTTTTTTTTTTGCTAAATTCATTCTAGTCCCAGTGCAGTAAGGTTAGAAATCCGTCCACATATGACCAATAAGGGGTAAACAAGCCTAGCTGCAGAGAAAAGCCTGCTTGTTGCCTATTGTTTAAAAATAAAACAATATTGAGCCATGGGGAGTGGGACAGCATAGTCTGAAAGATTTGGGGACAAGTTTCCCTTTACTTTTCTAGTGTATGCCTTCTTACTCTAAAATAAGTATTGTTGTTAGTCATGAAGTCGTGTCAGATCCATTGCGATCCCATGGGCAACATTCCTCCAGGCCTTCCTGTCCTCCACCATCCCCCAGAGTCCACTTAAGCTCACACCAACGGCTTCAGTGACTCCATCTAGCCACCTCATCCTCTGCCATCCTCTTCTTCTTTTCCCATCTATTGTTCCCAGCATTAGGCTCTTCTCCAGGGAGTCCTTCCTTCTCATTAGGTGGCCAAAGTGTTTGAGTTTCATCTTCAGGATCTGCCTTCTAAAGAGCAGTCAGGGTTGATCTCCTCTAGGACTGACTGGTTTGATCGCCTTGCAGTCTAAGGGAATCGCAAGAGTCTTCTCCGGCACCACAATTCAAAGGCCTCAATTCTTCAGCGCTCAGCCTTCCTTATGGTCCAGCTTTCACATCCATACATTGCAACGGGGAAAACCATGGCCTTGACTATACACACTTTTGTCAGCAGGGTGATGTCTCTGCTTTTTAGTATGCTGTCTAGATTTGCCATAGCTTTCCTCCCAGGAGCAAGCATCTTTTAATTTCTTGACTGCATTCTCTGTCTGCAGTGATCTTGGAGCCCAGGAAAATAAAATCTGTCACTACCTCCATTTCTTCCCCATCTATTTTCCAGTAAGTGAGAGGACTGGATCCCATGATCTTAGTTTTCTTAATGTTGAATTTCAAGCCAACTTTTGCTCTCTTCTCCTTCACCCGCATCAAGAGGATTGTTGTGATCCACATAATCAAAGGCTTTAGCATAGTCAATGAAGCAGAAGTAGATGTTTTTCTGGAACTCCCTAGCTTGCTCCACCATCCAGCATATGTTGGCAATTTGATCTCTAGTTCCTCTGCCTCTTCGAAATCCTGCCTGTACTTCTGGTAGTTCTTGTTCCACATACTGCTGGAGCCTAGCTTGTAGGATTTTGAGCATAGCTTTACTAGCATGTGAAATGAGTGCAATGGTGCGGTAGTTTGAACATTCTTTGGCATTGCCCTTCTTTGGGATCGGAATGTAAACTGACCTATTCCAATCCTGTGGCCACTGTTGAGTTTTCCAAATTTGCTGGCATATCGAGTGTAGCACTTTTACTGCATCGTCTTTTAAGATTTTGAATAGCTCAGCTGGAATACTGTCACCTCCACTAGCTTTGTTGTTGTTCAGAGTTCCTAAGGCCCATTTGACTTCACATTCCAGGATGTCTGGCTTGAGGTAAGTGACCACCTCATCATGGGTATCAGGGATGTTAAGCTCTTTCTTGTATAGTTCTTCTGTGTAATCTTGTCATCTCTTCTTAATCTCTTCTGCCTCTGTTAGGTCCCTGCCATTTTGGTCCTTTATCATGCCCATATTTGCATGAAACGTTCCCTTCATATCTCCAATTTTCTTGAAGAGATCTCTGGTCCTCCCTATTCTATCATTTTCTTCTATTTCCTTTCACTGTCCATTTAAGAAGGCATTCTTATCTCTTCTAGCTATTCTGGAATTCTGCATTCAATTGAGTGTATCTTTTTCTTTCTCCCTTGCCTTTCGCTTTCCTTCTTTCCTCAGCTATTTGTAAAGCTTCCTCAGACAGCCATTTTGCTTTCTTGCATTTCTTTTTCTTTGGGATGGTTTTAGTTCTCTCTAATTTTAAATTCTCTCTAGAAGACTTTAATCTATTTCATGTTCTCTTATTTATTATTTGGCATCTTTTGCAGGTCACATTGACTTTCTACAGAGATCACCAAGAACTTGTGCACATTACTTTTTTGTTAATATTATCTTTGACTTTTACTAGGGAATAAGTTATGGATTGTGAAGTGGAGCAAAAGGCTCTTGTGAAGCATTCACTTAGGAATGTTCAACTGTACTTACACAGCACTGAATGGAATCACAGTTTATGTAGCAAACACTTGCATATGTCTGAATAGATAACATTTTAGAGGAGAAAGGAAAACTTTTTCCTCAAATTTCCTTGGTATTAAAATCTACCCTGAATTTATTGCAACTCCCTTAGCGGAACTAGGAAGGGTGTCTGATTCCCACCCATTCTCCACCCCCCTGGTAACCTCACATGGACTCTACAAGTCTGTTCCAGAGTTTTGGAGAGAAGTAACAATTTTGAAGCATGAAAACAGCCATTTTAGAAAACATTGATAACTGATTTGCATACTAAAATTATTAAGGGAGCACCCCTAGACTGCATCTGAGGCACCATAAGGTATTTCACACTCCTCAGTCTAAGGCTGAACTTTGGGACACACACTTTAGATATTGTAAATTAGCATGTTTGCACTATATTTATTTAATTATTTTATTAACCATTAAACGAGGAAGAAACTAATATGAGGTCTCAGAGTTGGCTTCTTTCTGCAGTTTTTAAGAAACAAGACTGTTCGTTTGCCAGCAAACAGGGAGGACGAAACAAGGGAGAAAAACAATATGACTGAGGTCTCAGAATTGGCCTTTCTCTGTGAGTTTGGATCACCCAGAGATATCACAGGCAGCTCCTCCTCCAGC